TTACCCAGCTGCCTAAAATTTCAATGAACGTAAACCATACTGACTACTGACTATTCTGTCCACTAGGCATAGGATGTCCGATGAAATTTCCGCTTTCAGATACTTATTGGCGTGTTGGTGTAAATTCAGTAAATTTAGTCTATTCTTTTCTTCCTGTGTGCATGTGTTTCATCATCCATACAGAAATGGTGCAAACAATAGGGAATTTATCAGTCTTCGTTACCGTTAAACGTACAAAGAAACTCCTTCTGGTGAGACGGTGTATTATTTGATGGATGGATATGGTTTATGGCTATTCTCGGTGCTTATCTTGTAGTTCGATGAATAGTCTAGGTAGAAAGACACTCTAAATTGTCTGACTCATTTTATATGCAAGGCTTACTTTCTCAGTTTCAAACGATCATTTTTAAAGTTGGTCAGTCTTCTGAAGCCCCATGTGTTATTTCTCATAGTTTCATGCTAGTTACGAATTTCTTACATTTTCACAGGGCTTCTATATCAAAATTATAAGACTTTGGAGGTAAAATAAAAGTGATAAACTTTAAGAACTGTCAACTACAAATTCGTCTCCAGCAACATACACCTGCTGTTCTTATATGAGGCACCTAGAATGAGACCTGAAAGGAATCACTGATCCTATGTTTATTCTTGATTGTAATATTTACTACAAGGAGTTCTCGTATCCTGGTTTGTAGGTGTTGATTGACTTCATTGACATCCAGGTAGATTTCATCACTGACCAACATCACTTAGAGAAACGTTGAAAACCTGGGAGCACTGAACTGCTTGTGAGAGGCATAGATTTCTTGAAGCCGTAACGGGAAGATGCATCCAATGAGGTGAAACATGTAGGGTATGAGGACAGCGAGTATCTGTCTGCATTCTGATTTACAACATAGAGTAGAGTCACCAGTCGATCATTCATCCAGAAAATTTCGTCATACCCTGCATTTACAAGTAGGCTCTAAAGAAATGACGTAAATACACATACACAAAAACAGCTAGTTAATTAATGAAAATTATTACAAGACTGGAGAATTAAATGTGAAGCTGATTTGCTTGCATTTGACACAGGTGAAGTGAATATTTGTTAAAAGTTTTGAGGTAAATAAAATGTAGAAAGTCAATGAAATACTAGTCAGAACTTCACATAAATTAAACATTTGCGCCTACCTACTTCATAACCACAAAAACTGCGTTCATTTGATTTTATACTAGAGTCAAGTAAACCTTTGACTTGACAGCATACATGTACATTAACCCCAAGCACTTACTTCCTGAAACTCTGTTTGTCAGTGGTAGCACAATCAACTTTAGTATCCTTCACTTAAAGCACTCATAGTTATTAATCAGTGAATGAATTTCAGTAGCCTCAGTCTTCTGCTGTATAAGTACTACACAACTAACCGCTTAACTTGTAAAAGAACAACACAAAACCCAAATAAAGGCTGATGAGCAGTTCAAGGACAGTCACTTCATGTAGTTTTAGCCGAGTTCGGATTCATTGTTTGCGTAATTCACATGTTTCTTTAATCGCGGTTAATTTCGGAATAGATTTATCTGAAATTTTAGGCTTTCAGTGAATCATGTCTAAATCGTGATCTTATCTTTTTGTTAATAAACTCACTTATACCAGGAAAGCTGCTTAATATCCTCATACACTACATATCATGTTTACGTGCAGCATAATGTAAACAATAATAAGCATTAGAGTGGATATGATTAGTCTCATATCTTGAGTTATATATACCAATTCATCGTCTGGCATTTTACTATGCTTATAATTGGGATGAACCATCATATGACTTCCTAAAATTCAAATTGAATAGGATTCCTGCAATATATGTGGAAGTTTACCGACACCTTGAGTGCTCTACTCAACGCTAACGAGTTAAGTAAAATGAAACCAAGTGTACAATCGGAATTTTATTGTAAGACTTGAATTATGTCTTTCGAGAATCCTCTTTGTTATTTAATCAGAAATCACAATTTTCACATATTAGCCTAGTCACGTGTCATAGCCATCAAGTCTAACGAATTTCTCCAGCTGGCTTTTAATGCAATGTTTCCCTAAGTAAACTACCTCAACTGGTGGAGAACGAAATCGGACTTAGGGAAAGTCTTTTGATTAGATCAACAGTAACTACTAACTGATTTCATTGAACATGTCTTAGGCATTATTTACATCATTAGTGACAACTAGGGTGGGTGAACAAAATTTCTAAATTTATTTATTAAGATTATATAAATGTTCAGGAGTTGGTTCACAGGGATTCGATTAATTGACAGAAGTTAGAATTCTTGGGCCACTAGGTTCTGTTCCAATACTCCGAAGGTCTTCGCTTTGATCCCTGCTCTGTTGAACAGGCCCAAACTAGAGTAGAGTACTGTCCGTTTTTCTATAGTTATCTAGCTGAGTTCACTCCATCTAACTTGAAATGAGGTAAACCATTCACCACTTAATTTGTTATCGAAATTCGCCAGTCGGCGGAGTAAAAGCATGACTTTCAAGTCTTTTTGAGTGTTGTTTTTGAATTTTTAGAAGAAAAGCCTCAGAAAAGTTAAAAACAAGGACAACTGGTCTCTGACAATCAAGCTTTCAGAAGGACTTCATTTTCCGCCATTTCATTGCCACTTCTTCGTATCGTCGTCAAGCAGCATCTACGTGAAGTTACATTACTAGCTAACTAATGTGAAGTGTGAACTCAGTTCATACAGTAATGAAATGATGCTCCAGGACTGGTCTGTGATGACTCCCAGCTTTAGGACACGGGATGTAATAGTTGAATATGTTGACCATATCACAGACTTGGGAAGTTCCATCAGCCCCGATGGACTGATTGCTAATAAAAACTCAGCTTGACAGAAAAAGCTTGTGTGGTACCTCACCAACTTGCATCATCTTTGCTGCCGTCATGATATTCCTTCGTCCACTAAGGGATGTAAATGGCCTGCAACATTTCACCTAGTCCCACTTTATACCTATCAGACATGGTCGTTGAAGTTGGGAGACACGTGAAGCATTTCAGAATTTCGAACATGAGCACCTCCACCTAGTAACTCGTCTTGAGTGTAGCAATAAGCTTAGTAATAGTGAGCCAAATCCTGGAAATCTTCACCTAAAGTTTCCCTCTCCTCTACATCTTACTGCATTGTAGGTTTATTACACTTTTCCCTCACTCTATCTCTCTACTTTTGTTTGTGCTTTCCCGCAGTGTGGTGGGTTGGACAGCACGTACTTCTGTGCGTCGTCATGCGTTGATACGTCAGTCATTCAGTTATGACAGTGAGTGACACTCAGTTCCAATCACATTCACCGCATTGACTTAGAAACTTAGTCCTCATCCATTTCCTTTACTAACGAAATACAATCGGTATAGTTATTTATGCCATCTATCTATATGGAGTATGCATGTAGTTTAGGGGATGCACATATATGTATGTATACGCATTATTCATCTTTATGCTGAAATATAAGTATGTTAAACATTTTCATGTTTTGTTTATGCACATACATGTGGAATTATGTGTACATAAGTATACACAGACTTTCCTACTGACACTCGTGGGTGACAAGTCAACGTGTTAATAATCACTTATATGCGTGGGTACCACATATGCATAGGTATATTGACGGTGTGGCTGGTTCATAATATATAATCCCATAGAAAACTTCAGTCTGTTTATGGTGTAAAATACTTATTTCATATACAAATGCTTGTACTTTAAAGTCAGATCTTATAATCTGATACTTTTGGTGAGCGCAACAAAACTGATTTCGTTATCAAATTTAGAGTTAGCTGCTTACCTCAAATTTCCTAAAAAAAAAACACTATTACCAGTAGTTCCGAAATCGTCTGCTTTGAGTTTCGAAAACGAGATTATACGAATTCCAGGTTAGATAAGTTTATTTGATAACAAAAACACATTGACATATTTTAAAAGCTGGATGACATCTCCAGCACAATTCACTTATCACAATCATGCGAATACATTCTCACCACTTTCTAACTTAACACAAATTCCTTTAGTTCCTCTTGTATTTGACTGTAATTTCCCACTTGCTTCAGTTAATCATGATAGATGAGTACAATGAAGGTTCTTGTGTATTATTTACAGTGTCGCGTATCACTGATACATTCCGACTTATAGTGAGAAACAGGGATATAACAATCACGTTTGTAGTGGACAGCTTACCTCAAGATATTTTCAGTAACTACGATATCTTCCGAAACTCGAATACTTGTTTGATCCCTTTATACGATCAGAGAATTTAGTCCAAGTGTTACGACAAACTCACTACAGACTCAAACCACCGTTTCCCCTTTGCAGCTTAACAAGCGAAAACCATGAAGTTACAACACCGACAGAAATACTCAGCTTTCTTTCCTCACAAACACCTGGTTCGTGAAGTGATTAAAAGTTACGACGCACAAAGGATCAGACTTCTCAGCTTCAGTTGACAACACATGAGCTTCTTGCCATCAAACTAAGACTTCTGAAGTGAATAATATTCGTGTTTGTTGAGAAATTACTCGGTAACGATAACATAAAGCCTAACGTGAAAGTCCAAATTCGCAAGACACAATTACGCTGTACATCGCATCTTTTTTTCTAGTTTTCACCATAAAATCATCTGCTCTATCTATGTACAAAACATGTCTGATAAAATGGAACAGATACCTAGAACATCGGGTGCATTGCCGAGACATTAGGAGAAATAAACATCAAAACTCGTTGTGTGTACATAAGAGTGGTTGAATTACTTGCCCTAAGCTTTTAAAATCTCCGAAGTGCATCCTAATCCATGTTACCGAGAGTTCAGACATCCCATCCAGTACGCAGCATTCTCCTCCCAACTAAACGATCTCTTGAAATCAGAAGCAAGTCACATTTAAAAGCCATGTATTTTGGAAAGTTGAATAAATCGTTATCACTGTCACTGGACTAACAAAGGTTAACGAAAAGAAAATGGCATCTTTTCCTTGTTAAGAAAGAGCTCACAACGTTCTAAAAGCACGGAAAAATGTCACATTCTTAGATTAAACTAGTTTAGTGAACGTTTCCACATTACCTTGTTCTGGGACCGACATCTTCGATTTGTTCCTCAAGCATAATGGTTCTATATATCCACCCGGTAGATGGTAGAACAGGATTAAGACGCAGAATCTCTTCCAGTACTAACATGAGAAATTCCTCTTCGGAAATCACCCGGAGATCCGCTTCAGATTCATCTGAATCTTCAGGTGGAATGCGGGGATTATACGGTTCCATTGAATCTGGATATGAAAAGCATGAAAATGCGTACTAAAGTGTGATACGTCACAATACGGGCATCAATTCTTAAAGGCAGACATTTGGTAAACTTACAAACTCTGAAGTGAAGACAGTTAGCAAAGGAGGAGGGCACCCACCAACCTAAGAACCAACGTTCACGCACGCAATTTGGTTTGACAGGCTATGTCCTAGTACAAAACATTTGATGCATTTAAAGTCCTCATGTGTTAGTGAATGATAGAGGCCGATGATCGTGATGCATGAGTTATTATTAAATTCAGAACGAGTGTTATGACTCACCATTTCATTTAGTACTCACTCACTCGATAAGTTAAGAAACACGTGTGACTCAAACTCAACTTCATCAGTTGTACCAGGACAGCTTATATGAAAATCCTCCATGGTGCTTATTCCGAGCATTTCAACTGATTTTACAGCCAAAACCCTTTTCCATCACGTATTTATCATCGTTCTAGAATCTGTATGATTTCTGTTGGTTTAATTCCTATTGTTTGTCGTGAATTTGGCTGATTCATAATTTTGATCCTCCCATTTAATGTTGTATGATGATGTTGATAATAGCGCGCTGTTTTTCGGCTGCAGTTTTGTGCTAATGAAATCAGGCGTAGGCCATGGGATGGCCACCTGACCTTAGGATGACTGAGGGAAACGGATTTCGTTTCATTCGACTCTTGGAGACAGAGTTCAGATCCCGTCTTGTTGGGAAGATTATCAATGATTCCAGAGTACTTAAGTGTTGTGCTTGGCTAATCATTCTTGACATGTAGCGCATATTTCGTATCTGGAGAGTTTCTGGACTGTATTTACGGTGTAGCGGTATATAATTCCCCAGAATTTTTGACCACAGCACTCATCACTGCACATTGGATGTTGACCCTCACTGTTTAAGTCGACTTGTTTATCTGAAGGCTTCCGGTCAAGCATCCACGCCATTCGGTACGCCGTCGTGTCACATTCGTTCGTTCGTGCACGATCCCTAAGCAATCATTTCGCACTCCGATTTGGTTCAGAAATACATCTCGTAATTTGGACGATCAACTATCGTATTTTGCTTTGACTTTGGTCTACGCGGAACGGATACTATAGAAGTTGTTGGTATTAGATCTTGCGTTAGTATACTACGTACTATTCGTGAACGTCAATACCGTCGTATGTCTTGTCATCGACTTCTTTGATCAACTGCTTCCATTTATGAAGTTGGCTGCAGTTGACGCGTATGTTGTCAGTGAGTGCTTCTCGGAGGATCTGACGGTGGGGAATGTCCAGTGACACTCTTACACATTCTCCAGCCTATTAAGTGAGAACACCACTAGTCGTCAGCATGTAGGACGTCCAATCGTCAATCCAAATGGCATACGACACGATAGATATTGCTTCTGTCCCGTAATGACAGCTGTCTCATATGTTTTCATCGAAATCTAAAATTTTCTATTTGAATGAACAGAACATATTGATTCTTGCCTAGCGTTCAGCATCTTTAGATGTACTTTCCTGGGTTAAAGGATGAACCAACGGCAGCTTTCCTCATTAAGACCTATAATGCATAAATGTCGAAACGCACCCGGTGTGATGTTGACTATGGCACCAATGAACAGTGAATGAATGTAGGAAGCCCATTCCTACTCTGGACCTCTTCGACAAGTAGTTGGTCGAATATAATCTAGTTTTGATTACTTTTCACCAAAGCCCCACCTAGTGTCGTTTCCAGCATGCTCGATCAGTACTGTATTTCTAATGTTTTGCAGTAGATTTCGACCGAATTTTCCCTGAGCATACCTTGAGTAAAAGTTCAGAGATGGGGCAATGAAATCCTCAGCTATGGTGATTTAGTCATAATTCAAGCCCTGTATCCCTCTGATGGCACTGAGCGATGGCTGGTTGTGCCCTGCCTCACAAGTGGGTGATCGGTTGATGCCACCCAGTAAGTGCTTAGTGTGGCATTTGGTGAAATTACATCATGTGGAATCCGGGTGTTTAGTGAGTGGTGGGTCGATTTCCCGTACACATTTTAGTTTCTCGTCAAAGTATATGGCAACTTCTCCCCTTCCTTGTTATCCCCGTCTCTCCTGACCAGCACCATGTCACTTCTACTGATTTCATTGTCGGCCATAGTGGGGATTAGTCAGATTTCAGTAGGACACTTAGGTGACACTGACTGTCGTTCTCAGTAACGCATCGCTGTAGTACCACTGAGGCTTGGTGACGTGTTAAGGCTTCAGTTTACTCCCTCCAAGTAGTTCGAGCTATGTTTTCGCAGCGTCAGGTATATCCTTCCAATTCGTACCGCCACTGAGGTACTGGAGCCAAGTGCTCCTGTGAGAGCTAATCAACCTAAGACGAGCTGGACGAGATAGCTGGAAAATCGAGACTCGCCCAGAAGCACGCGGTACGTTCAACGTTTGCGTTGCCATTTTGCGTCACATAAAATTTATCTTCTTGTAATCCTTGTACAAGTGCTATACTACTCCCATACCTGTAACCATTAACTCTCATATCAAATAGTTATGATTAATCAAAATAAAAAGCAACGAACCCAATCCCCTGTAAATCTGTTGACTAATTCTACGCCTTTGATCGCTACATCAAGTAACACACTTTCTATGAACGGTTATAGTGGGCCACATAACTCACTTGTATGCCGTAAGCGTCGAGCTGGAACTAAGAATAAAACTGTACTGACAGCTAGCATTAGCACTACTCCTAAACATTCAGTACCCTCTGCCTATACAGAACTCCTCTCTTCACCTTACGTGCTTATCAAAAAACTCCAGCCACCAAGCTCTGTTTTAGTACTATCTTCAGAAATAGGACATCTAAAGTTGTCTATAGGAGAACTCAAGGCTGAGTTAGGGGAAATAAAATACAATAAGTCAGTAAATGTTCTGAAATTCTGAAAGCGATATCAAGATACCCAAATTATCAGATCTGATCAGCGATATAAAATCGCAGGTCTGTGAACTGACACCTCTACCTATCCTTATGAAAACTATAAACCTCAACAGACTTGACACAGAATCGGTAAATAAGGTAGATAACCTCGTTAACTTTGTTGCTACAGAAGTGAAAAACGACTCGACGCAAAACTGAGTGCTTTTGTCTACAACTTTCTGGACAATGAGGCACTAAAAAAGGTACAGCGCATCTTACTCAGTGAGGCGAAAATGCCCAATTCCAAGACTAAGTGCTGTAAACTGAAGAATACTAAACATGAAAAGTGTTATCCTATTCGTTTTCAGTTCCAAACACCGGCAGAGACCAGAAAATTCATCCACCCCCAACGCACCCTATCACAAGCCAGAAACTACGGACTAATAAAGGTTGCTGTCAATCACGTCTCATAAACCGTTAATGCCCAGCTCTTGCTACGCTCGGGCCCACGCTGTTCCTTGAAGTTTCCAGAAACGCTTAGTTATAACGGACGAAATAACCAAAACACCGATTGGCCGCTTGAGATTTCTTTATTGTTACACCAACATATAAAAATTATAACTGAACTAAGGTCTGTGAACAAATATTACAATAATAAATCATAGTATTACTTCTGACGATGTTTCACTCTTCTTTCTGAACAGCGACCGATGAGACGATGACTGTCGTATTGATGCCTCCGCGAAAATTGGGGAAGTTGATTTTGAACAAACAACCATGAATTGATCGTTCAATCTTCAACTCCATTCACAGTTGCCGTAGACAAGACAGTCACAGAAAGGCGCGCATATAATTATCTCAATAAACCTAATTGTGGAATAAATAATAGGACTTTGCAAGCAACCGTTATATGCAACCCTTTGAGAGATACCGTAGAATTCACTGCACCACCCCTCTCTAACAACTCAGAATTATCCCCTTAGAGTGCAAATCAGCCGAAAGACCACTAGATTGTAATCAAATAACTAACAAAACCTTACCACCTATCGCCGTAGACTCAGACATGCCACTAAATAACCCCAGAAAATAGTCAAAGCCCCACGAAAGTCAACATTGTCCTCTCCTAGCCATAACCCTATAGGTAAAGAGGAAATAGTGTGTAGCGTTAAATAATTCCCCAAAATTATTGACCACAGCAATCACTCATTGGATGCTGACCACCACTGTTTAAGTCGACTTGTTTAGCTGAAGGCTTCCGGTCAAGCATCCCCGCCATTTGGTACCCGTCGTGTCACGTGCACGATCACTAGCTAGCTAAGCGTTCGTCTAACGGCTTGTTTTGGTTTCAAAATATATTACGAAGTTTGGACGATAAATTATTGGCTTTTGCTTTGTCTTTGGTACGCGAGAATAAATTAATTAGAAGTTGCTGAACGAGATATCCGTCAACCCTAAACTGGTGAGCCCAACCGCGAACTTCATCCACGATAAATCCGCAGATAACCCCGGTGAGTTCGTTCCATTTTGTATTTGTTCTTGTACCATATATTATTCGACATAATTTTCGTCATGAGTGATCTTAGTCCCAAGGTCATCCGTATCCGCTCAACTCCTAAAACCATTCAGCTCGTACCATACTGGCCAGATAATGCTGAAACGTGGTTTCTGCTAGCTGAAGCAGATTTTTGTGAGCATGGGATAACCGATCAACGTTCACAGTTACTTGCAGTTATTCACGCCCTACCGCGGGAATTCAGCAAGTACGTAACATCACAGATGTTGAGTCCCGAGGTAAGTAACTCGTACGAGTTGCTCAAAGCATCCCTCCTCAGGAGAAACGTTCTCACGGACCGACAACGTCTAGATGAATTATTTCGTAACATCGAGTTAGGAGATCAGTCAGCCGTGAGCATGCTGACAAGAATGAAAGAAGTCGTTGACCGAAGTCAGTTCGACGAAGGACTGTTTAGAGAACTCTTCTTAACCAAGCTGCCACAGTCTGTACAGACCGTACTTGTGACACTTCAGGGTACTGTAATAGAGGACTTAGCTATTACTGCAGATAGGATTCTAGAGATAACCAAACGGTCAGTTCCCGAAATATGCTCGATGACTAAGCAGACTTCGAGTAAGGATCCTGCAATGATAGAGTTATGCAACTCCCTTCAGCAGATGTTTAGGTCAAACATGCCTCCTAAATCCTCCGACCGTCGTCCTAAATCTCCTCAACGCAGGAACTCACGTGGTCGATCTAAGTCCAAACCACGTTCACTGAAAAACCCTGACTGGTGCTGGTACCACAACACCTATGGCCAAGAAGCGAAGTGTTGCCGTAAGCCTTGTAACTTCGGAAATGTCTCAAAGTCTGCGGGAAACTATCCCGCCGGCACGCGTTAGCGGCAACCGTCGCCGGT